GAGAGGTTCTGGTGTTTATTTTCTCGTGTGTTGTCACGACCCCTTCATCGTTTCGCGTTGCGACCACGGGTGATGATTGCGGGCTCACCGGTGCAGGAAAAACGGAAAGGAGCATGCGGCCGGGCACAAGATCGGCCGCTACAATATCCGTCAATGGAGCGAGCGGCTCATTGCCATATCAACACCCACAACGTCAAGCATATAGACGACGACTATGCTACCCACGCACCACACGTACCTGTAATATGTCATATTCGAGACGCAGATATTCGAGACACCGGCTTCTTCCGCGCTAGAATACTGCCAGGTTAAGATCTTGTAGTACTGCCTTGGGACGAGTGGGGCTAGAGGGGTTTCCTGAAAAGCCGTAGGCGCCTACCTCCGTGGGTGTTGGGATCGAAGTGGATGGACTCGTGGACGGCGTGGCTCCAGCCCTTGTACTGGACCCAGTGCGCCGTGAGGAGGAGGGCGTGGAAGAAGAGGGAGGTGAAGGCGAGGTGGCCAGCGATGGCGTGGTAGAGCACGGCCCGCTCGAACGGTACCCCGAGGGCCGACCAGATCTTGCTGTCGCGGGATACCGGAACCAGGATGATCGCGAAGTGGGAGGAGCACACCAGCCCCATGAAGATGCCAATCATTCTCAACCTGTTTTTGCAGGACAACGGGGGCGGATGGTTCAGCAGGAGGAAGGATCGTGGCACATCCGGAATACGATCTCTCGGTACGAGACGCGGAACGGAGCGCGAAATTTGGGACGGAATGAACAAACGCATAGGAGGGACTTACTGGGGTGAGAAAGTGAACCAAAGATTGATTCGGATGTGATCAAAACTCGGTAACGGGAACGATACGCACCACAAAAAATGGGCGGACGCCGCGCTTGCTCATATGTACATCAATACCAACACGCGTGAAGTGCGAGTGAATGAGTGGATACACATGGGCCGTAGTACTGTAGTCTACCATTTTTGTTAAGACTTCGACACATCCCTTTCGACTGTGGTGTCGTCTCGAACGTTAGTGTTGTGATTGCATTTTTCGAGAATTGGGATGGGCACGACCGAGTCGTGCTGCCGAGGCAGGTGCGTGTTCTTTTGCGCGGGAAGACAAGAGGTTCGGGATATCCTCATGTATGTGCAACGTGGCTTGGTTACCGAGCGGAAGAACGTGGCTTGGTTTGTACGACAAATCGGACAAATCGTAGTTTTTCGTCACTCCCGAGAGACAATCGAAGTCACGGACAGTTACCAGGTTAGGCACTAGACCACCGGGGCGGAAGGCATAGTCTTAAGAACTCACGAGGCAACGTGGCGATGCGAAACGTGTTTCAAAGGCAACGAGAAAAAAAGGGAACAAAGAGCTATAATGCCGCGATCCGGTGGCGATCAGCACAAGCAATGCGCCACCCTTCGGATGGGAAATCAAAACAAACTTTCTTCCACAATCAACCCTCGACGTAATGACGCCACCACTGCTGCTGCCACCACATCCCAACCGGGATGTTTTCTCAAGTGGGCAGTCTTTACATTTAAATGCTCGGTCTATACTATTAAGCGGCTTAGCCGTCGGTTGTCGGACCAGTAGTTCGGGTCCATTTCTTGCACCGACGTGGGTGGCACCTGAACTGTAGCGTCAGCGCATTTTCTTACATCGTCGATGATGTTTCACTCACACAATGAAAAAAATTACGTCATTTTGTGGTACTGACTGGTGGAAATAGGCTGTCATTCAATACGGGCTCAGTTACAGAGGGGGGGTTTAGATTTATTCACTGTATCTGGTTGTGGTGAACCCTCCCATGCAACATCACTTGTTTTTCATTCGTCCGATGTAGTCTAGACGCTGCAATTGATTGCTTGAGTAGTCATTTTGTGCGGCACACAACGTCGACAAACAGCCGAAAACAAAATAAAATATTGTCTTGTCCGAAAAAATCGAAAACCGAACAAGACGAACTTTACCTGTATTGGTTCGGTGTAGGCCCTCCGGGTTCGAAAGAGAACTGGTTGCACCATTGGGTCGGATCGTCAGGGCACACCATGTAGATATCATGGAAGTGGTTGCCATGGTTCAGCACCCCTGGAGCGTGACGGCGTCCGTAGCAAGGGAGAGGACAAAGAGCGGAGAATTTCATTCATACAAATCTGCGTGTCATAGACCCATGCAAGAAAGAATACCTGCTCGATCGAGAACTTCAACAGAAAACGGCTTTTTGGGTCCCTCATCATTGTTGTGGTGGGCCGAAAACGAGTGGCTGCATCATAGCATGCGTGCAGCAACTGCAAGATTATTTCCGGATCCACTGAAAAAAATCATACACGGCTACCAGCGCGGGGTTTGCCGAGCAAAAGCTCGGCCTGAAAGGGGGCGGGGTCGCTCTCTGCACTACTAACCTTGCCAGCACTGGGATCCCATGGCGAGGAGCCACAGGGTAAGCACGGTGGTCTCGCCCACGGTTAGCCACCTGATTGGCCAGTACAGAAAGAAATGCGTCATCAGAAAGATAGATCGTGGCACGTGGGCGCCCCAAAGTCGTTGCGCAGTTCTCGTGGGCATCGCCAGGGGAAGGAGCGCACCACGTAGCAGCAGTTTTTTTGAAAAGCACGCGTCGTGGTTACAGCATGTTGACCAGGTAATGGGACGGGCTGGTTCTCTCTCTCCCCGCGAGCCCGGTGCTGTGTGTTGTTGCGCGACAGTTTTTTCCGAGGGCGTCGAGGGAGCGGCATCACCCGTCCATAAACATGTGCATGCACAATTAACAGGTTTGGGTGCGACACACCGCTGACAGGTTTGTCACAAAGGCAGCAGGTGACTAAAGATTTGTTCTGCTTGGGCTGTTGCTTAAAGAACTCACGGGGAGTACTGGCCCAAGGGTCGGTACTGGTAGTGCACGACGCTGTGGAGGAACGACAAGATGCCCGGCTTGTTCTCTTCCTCTCCTGCAGCAGCGCTGTCCGGGTGTTCCTGGGTGGATCGGATCTCCCGCCGCTTCCACAAGGCTTCGTACACCCCACCTAGGGCAGCCGTCAAGATGATCGGGAGGCCGATAAAGATGAACTTGGAGGTGTCGGAGTGCTTGATGTAGAGGTCGGCCGAGCCGTCGAGGTCGGCGTCCTCGCTGTCCAACACCATCTCGAGCTCGTCGTCGGGGAGGATGGTGCCCTCGTACCACTTGCCGATGAACATGGCCAGGTAGAAGAGGCAATATCCAAGCATGCCGTAGCTGGCAACGCGGATGGCGGTCAGGGCACACCCAATCCCTCCATCGGACCCCATGATGATGGGCGCAGGGGGCGAGTTGCTGACGACAACGATGGGTCTACCGCAAGGGTGTGCTAGTTGAGAACAGGGGAAGTGATGAGTTGTGTGCGTGAGTGGGTTGTGCGGGTACGGGGCAGGTTTTTTCGCAGCAGCGCCAAACCTCCGTTTGCAGTTGCGAATAAATGTGTCACGAACCTGTTTTTTGCGAATCCTTTTTTTTTTATTTTGGAAGATAATTCAAAGAGCCTAAATCCAACAACCTGTGATCTCACAACTGCTGTAGCTATTTGCTGCGTCGCCCGTCGAATGTTGCTACAATATATCTTTCGGGGCCTTGCTTGAGCTCCTTCCTCCAGACTCAGACTGCTGTAGTTGAAGACGCGCAAAAAAACCCCACCAGCATGAGCCAAAGATGGGTGATTGCCGCCTGGTTTGTAGGATGGGATCGATAGCGCTTGCTCATGGAACGCAACGCGTTTCAGCCAACCTGTCGTTGACCATCAAACCCAACCTCAACCTTAATTCTACGAAAGGTCTTGGGCAGCTGTCTATACAACATGTGTATGTGTCTCTCTCTCTCTCTCTCTCTCTCTCTCTCTTTCTCTCTCCCCTCTTTGTCTATCTCCCTCGTACACTGCTGTAGTCTGTCATGCTGCCCGAAACCTGTTGTTTTTGCATAGAAGATTCGAGAAATTTCCGGAGCGAGAGAAAATTCCAGAAGCGGGTCCAGCGCACATGTGGCTTATGACCACCCATCAACCCACTAGCAACCGGTGGTGCGAGACACATTACTACCCCAGGTGCAAGAGTAGAAAAAGGCCTGGCCAATCGCTTTATAAACATGTGCTGAAGCGGGCCAGCACGGCTGTGTGCACAGGAACTACGCACGCACGCTATCCCGAGCATTATATGGGGCACGTGGTCTCAACGCAACAACAAAGGGGCTCAGTGGTACATGCAGTGGTGCAATTGCTCTTCACAACCAATACAAATGGAAGAAATTCGTTGCAGCTTTCAGCGATGCAGCTGCCTTATGCATACGGTGGTATTGCTACATGCGATTTCGTAGAGGACAGCAGGGACAGGACAGCATATGCAAATATGCACAAAACGAATGAACAAATCGAGACTAATGAGCTCTTCATTCTCCCTCCACGGCGACGTCCTGATTGTGTAGCTGATGTAGCCGTTGGTTTGCGGATGACACGGCCATGTCCAACAACAACGAACACACAAAAGGAACACCATTCTTTCAGCTGTTCCGCCATCTACCTAATACTCCGGAGTAGTAAAAACTACCCCGTGGAGAATCGCGGCTGACCTTGAGGCCAAAATTCCGCCACAAGCAAACAAGAAAAATGTTTACAGGTATCGCCGACATGCGGTAGACATCTACAGACCAAACCGGGCAGCAATAGCCTTGTAAAACTGCCCACTACACAAACCCCGACTCTGGTTTGCGGTTGCCCAATATATCGCGCCCCACGCCCGGCATTTCTTGTGTTGAAAAAACGTTGTACGTCCCCCGAGAAATTGCTCGCCGCCCCTCGGATAGCCAAAATAAACACCCAAAGACGACAAGAACAGCTCGGGTTGGTCGTCAGCAGACAACGCAACCGGGGACAGGGAGGCTATATATCTCCGGCTTTCCGCCAGATGGACATCAGGTTCTATTCACCCAAGCACGCAGAACAGAAGGCAGGTGTCCCGTTCAACGCAGCCAGATGGCCGTAGGGTTCAACGCACCAAGCACGTGGAACAGCCGCCAGGCGCCCCCGTTCAACGCAGGCAGATGAACATAATAAGGCTCAACGCACCAAGCACGTGGAATAGCCGCCATGAGTCCTCTTCAACGCCCATCTGCTGCAGCAACTGTGTGGGGGCATTTTTATGCTGGCAAGTCGACAACAAGGGTTTTGACACCTTTCTTTGGAGCAAAGGCACCTCCTACACACGGCACTCTAACCCTCTCACACATTCACGCACGCGCGGGGCAAAAACTGCGGACGAAAAACTGCATGCGAAGAACGCATAGACAGCGCGCACCATTGCAAAAAACACACCGCCTGGTGGTGTAAGAAATCGAGGATACGAAACATGAGAACATGCAATTAACCCTTCCCAGACTAAAACCTATATATTCCCAGCTGGTCTACCCACTTACCACATCAAATTAAGCAGCGAGGGCTGCGTAAAAGAACAGGTTCTAGTGGCGGTGCGCTATCAGAATAACATGAGGACCGGGGCGCCCCTGGAACTACGAACATGACAAATACGAGTACGACGGACACATTGACAAGAGGAGGGAAAGTTTGAAATCCTACGGTAATTTTCGCCAAAAAGACGTCAACAACACCTGTACGGGTTAGCACATCAAAATCCTCAACGCATCAGTTTCGAAATGGAAAGGTATGGAGGCGTCCTATTTGGAACTTGGATTTTCGGCCTGTGTACTCCTCCTCTCTAGACAACTACTCCGCAGTATAATACTTGTCCGCTTTCTCTTTCCTGCCGTGCACTTTGATCGGGAGTCTCTTGACCAAGAAGACCAAGCTGCATCCATCTACGTAGAGATGTCTTTCAACACCAACAAAACAACTTCAAAATATTACATCTGTCGCTTTACCACCCGAGCACGTAGGTACTCGGTTGAGTACACCATGCTCAGAAATGTCTACGAGAAATATTTGCGCGCTCGAGCTCCTGCCCCTCCCAAAAATGCTCAAGCACCCCCTTCCCCCCCCCGCAAAAAAAAAACACTCGTGCAAAAATCAAACGGTCACTCCGGTTTCAGTCGCACACCGCGGCGGCAGCTACAGGCATAAACTATCATCATGCGTTGCACAGACAAAAATAAAACGGTCACTTCGGTTTCAGTCCCACCGCGGCGGCAGCTACAGGCATTAACTATCGTCATGCGTTGCACAGACGAGAGTGAAAAAAAAAAAATTGAAACGCCTCCTTACTCTTCAACATAAACGACGGGGGCCCCTCTTATTGATTACCACGCCCCAGCCTCGAGGTCCATGGGCTTGAGCGAGTACGGGTCCTTCTTGCCGACCGTGTGGGCCGTCTCACCGTGAGACCTGAGGACCCACTTGGTGGTGAGAAGGCCTTCCACACCCACGGGGCCCCTGGCGTGAATTCGGCCCGTGGACACGCCAACCTGGGGGAGGGCACGAAACGGGAACACGTTGGTACGTGTGCCAACAGAGGAAGGCAGGTCGGCATAGGACAAGGAATATGTGCGACGGCTGTCGTCCTCCGGGCGTTTTAGACGCCTACGCGGTCATGAATATTGCGGATGCCGCCGACAGCAACACCGCGACTGATGGGTCAAGGACTGCTGTGGAGAACCCCACTCGAGATTGCGCTGGTACGGTATGCCAATAAACTTGAGTGCAACAGCGAGAACATTACACAACCGTTTCCCCGGGGTGGAGGTTGGGGTCACGGGAGGGCTAGAGCACTACGGCAGAGAGCGTGCAAGGTCACAACTTTTCAAGGGACCAGCAGGAGAAAAAAGCCCTACAAGCCGCTACCGCTGCGAGTCAAACTATCGATGCCATCATTCTGAGGGACAACCTAACCCCGGTACGATAACCCTGTGAGTCTAAAAGCTTTGCCGGTCCAAGCCATCGTTCTCAGTGTCTGTCTTCTTCTCGGTTGCGCCCGGACCGGCGGAAAACGCGGTCTAAAGGGGTGGATAAACCACGCGGCGAGCTACAACTCTCTTGGCAGCGAGGGCACCCACTTCAACTTCCAGTACATAACCAAACCCCCCTTGCTGCGTTCACTCTCAGAAACGTGTCGCAAAGCAACAGAGCATCGTTGCTTGATCCCGACAAAGTCGTCACTACATCGATCGCATCAAGAACCCCCTCCGAGACTAAAGCGTGCCTACATGACATCGCCCGCGTGCCACCTCCGTCTCCCCCCAAGAAACCAGAAAATCATCATTCCCGCACGTCCCGCTTACCTCTGCCCCAAGTCCGAAGCGGTATCCGTCCGAGAAGCGTGTGGAGGCGTTGTGGAAAACGCACGCGCTGTCCACGGTCTCGAGGAACATCTTGGCCACGTCCTGGTCCTCCGTCACGATGGTCTCCGTGTGGCTAGACCCGAACCTTCGGGGGGCGTAGGAGATAACAAAAAAAGGGGTGGAAACGTTCGGGAAGCGTCTTGAGCATGACAGGTTTTTCTTGAGAATGTGGCGGGGTGCGAAATAAAAAGCGATTGGAACATACGGGCAAGCATCTTGAGCATGACCAGTTTGGCTTTGGAATATGGCGGGTAGAACAGAGCAAAGTGTGACTGATTCGGAAGCATTTGAGCAGCAAGACCAGCGTCATTGGATGTGGCGGGGTACGAAGATGTAGAAGAGAGAAAAATGTTACTATATGTTCGCAAGGAATCTTGAGCAGTTCATGAGTAGTTCATTCCATGTGACTGCTGTGTGCGCGACCAGCCAGCATCTTGTTCGCCGAGTACGTCTGTCTTCCTTTTCACTGACCGCGAATCAGGCAACAAACACCACCGTAAGCAATACGTCGGTGGCTATCGAACCTACGCATGCATGGAATTAACGGGGCTATTGGTCTCCGTGCCGCCGCTAGACCCTCAAAACCTTCACGTGACTGAGGAGTCTGACGTTTTGTGTCTGGTCTCCTCCAAAATCGTTCATGTGTGCACTGCACACAAATCGCAAAGGGGGTGTACACGCCCGAATCGCTGCGGAAAGGATGATACCGCAAAGAGGAGGCATCCATTTGTGTTCGCGATATCTGCAGACAAAGAAAATCGAAACCGTACGGTTACAGTACCTTTGGATGTGATCCAGGGCAGCCTCCACGCTGTCGACGATCTCCAGCGATACTGTCAAGTCACCTACATTCGGTCATTACAATTGTCGGCGGGTGGGGCGGGTTACTCTATGCGCTGCTTGGGCTTCTGAAACAATCCTTCCGAAAAACGAGATGCGCAACTACTGCCGTATGTAGGCCGTTGACAAACAAAGCTGGGTGGTGTTCTCAACCATTGTTCTCAACCATTGTTCTCAACCATTGTTCTCAACCATTGTTCTCAACCATTGTTCTCAACCATTGTTCTCAACCATTGTTCTCAACCATTGTTCTCAACCATTGTTCTCAACCATTGTTCTCAACCATTGTTCTCAACCATTGTTCTCAACCATTGTTCTCAACCATTGTTCTCAACCGGGCGTTAGGTGAGACCCCCGCATGACAGACGATCTCGACAACGAGTCGAAACAGCTGCAACAAACGCGCTTCTAGCGGACCCTGCACATGCCCATATTCTACCATATTCTAAGCTTAGAAACAGAACCGTACACACAGATTCAACATGAGAGTAAATCAAACATCATCGTTTATAGGCGCAGAAAGGTGCAGACATTCGTGAAAAAAAGTACCGTATCATCACTCGCCGTATTCCGTCTTGAAACCCGGGGATATCTTGTCCCCTCCCACCACGCCGAGGTCTACCGCCCTGGGACCGCCCAACACGGTCACGCCGGCAGAGTGGAGAGCTCTAACGACCTAGCAAGCAAAAAGCAAGCACGAAACGAGGGGGGTACCCACACGCAGGAAAATCCAGGTTGTGTGTGGGGGGGGTATCACCAAGCCAGGTTTGTCTCTCGCTTTCGTCTTCGTTGATTGAATGGCATAGAGGCGGAGGGGATGTGAGGTTGTATTTCGCAGGTTTAATATTTCATATGGTACCGGAGGCGGCATCAAGCAGAGCAAGTACAATACGTCACGACGACGCAAACAGCAGCAGCCACAACTAATACGATAGACTATATGCATGCATTACACGTACTTCATACCCCATATAAGCACACATGCATACCTGACAGACAACTGTATACATACACATGCACCTAATGGGCACACCATACTGCATACATACATGCATGTTTTGAGCAATAGACGGCTTCCCTGCGGGCGGAGGGCTCACGAGATTGCAGCATTGGCAATCCTGCCCCTCCCGTGGCTCCAGATATACATACATACATAAATACATACATCCAGTGACCATCGGCAGATACATACCTGAGAGCAAGTTCCAGCCCCTTCTTCCAAGAGAGCCTTGTGGATCAGGATAGTCTCCGCCGCATTGCACGCCGAAGGGTAGTTCACCTTCACAACCACAAAAAAATACAAAAAGGGGGGGGGGGGGGTAAGATTTTCAGCAATGTCGTTGACAGAAAGCTGTGGGACTGACAGAAAAAGGCAAAATAGTGCGGAGATTTCAAGGGCCCCTGGTGCACTCTGAAGAGGTGACCACCATGTATGTTGAGCACTCTCGGTTGTGGACACCGAGGGAACATCAGTACAACGAGGGCGGGGAACTAGAAAAAAAAAAACACACACACACACATACACACACACATACACACACAAAATAGTGCCCAGTTTGAAGCAGACATGTCACCCTCTCAATGAAAGAAAACCGAACTCCGAAATAAAAACGGTAGTATACTAGACAAGCACACCAAGACAGAAAACATAGGCAAACGTCGCAGCATCCCCTTCGCCGTTCATAGAACACGGCTCACGGACCCCGTA